CGTCAGCCTGTCCGGCCCCGGTCCTGCCCCTCGCACCAAGCCAGTGGTGCGCGTCGCCAGCCCGGCCGGCCCGTTCCTGCTCCCCGCACCAAGCCAGTGGTGCGCGTCGTCAGCCCGGTCCGGCCCGTTCCTGCTCCCCGCACCAAGCCAGTGGTGCGCGTCGTCAGCCCGGTCCGGCCCGTTCCTGCTCCCCGCACCAAGCCAGTGGTGCGCGTCGTCAGTCCGGCACGGTCCGTGCCTGTTCCACCCCGGTGCCTGGTCCGGCACCGGTCAGCTGCTCACACCCGGAGCCAGAGCAATCCCGCTCCACCGGTTGTCCAGTCCAGCTCCGGCCAGCGGGACCAGACCAGGGGCGCTACGGGGGGGTAGAGATAGAGTGGTGGTCACGCCCGGAGCCGGATCCGCCTCCGAGGCGGAATGCCCACCCGGCCCCTACCCTCTTGTGTTTGGTTGGCGCGGTCGCAGTCCGCGCCTTTGGGGGGGGGGGGGTACTGTCACGCCCTGGCTCTGGTGACTCTTAAATGTTGAGCCAGGGTGTGGAGTTTCATTGTTTAGTTTTCTATGTTTTTCGTTCTAGATCGTTTATATCTATGTTGGCCAGGGTGGTTCCCAATCAGAGACAGCTGTAGCTCGTTGTCTCTGATTAGGGACCATACTTAGGCAGCCTTTTGGCATGTTAGTTTTGTGGGATCTTGTTCAGTAGAGGTTTGTGTTGTAACCTAGGACTTCACGTATCGTTTGGTTTATTGTTTTGGTTCGTGTGTGTACACTAATAAAGAATGTATCACGCTGCGCCTTGGTCCGCTTCATCTGTCGACGATCGTGACAGGGAAGGCCCTTTCCTCTTTCAACATGCCAATGACCCCGTTCACAAAGTGAGGTCCATACAGAAATTGTTGTGGAGACTGGTGTGGAAGAACTTGACTGGCCTGCCCAGAGCACTGACCTCAACCCCATCTAACACCTTTGGGATGAACTGGAACGCTGACTGTGAGCCAGGCCTAATCGCCCAACATCAGTGCCCGCCCTCCTTAATGCTCTTGTGGCTGAATGGAAACAAGTCCCCGCAGCAATGTTCCAACATCTAGTGGAAATAATAAATAAATAATATGCCATTTAGCAGACGCTTTTATCCAAAGCGACTTACAGTCATGCGTGCATACATTTTTTTTGTGTTTTTTTTTGTGTATGGGTGGTCCCGGGGATCGAACCCACTACCTTGGCGTTACAAGCGCCGTGCTCTACCAGCTGAGCTACAGAGGACCACAAAAGTCTTCCCAGAAGAGTGGAGGCTGTTATAGCAGCAAAGGGGGGACCAACTCCATATTAATTCCCATGATTTTGGAATGAGATGTTCGATGAGCAGGTTTCCACATACCTTTGGTCATGTAGTGTATTTGATGAGTTCTTCAAAGCTAAAAATCAACACCATCCGAGAGAACGTTGTCTCCTCCAACCCTAACCCCACTCTGGCTCCTACCCCATCACCCATATCTGGCTCCTACCCCATCACCCATATCTGGCTCCTACCCCATCACCCATATCTGGCTCCTACCCCATCACCCATATCTGGCTCCTACCCCATCACCCATATCTGGCTCCTACCCCATCACCCATATCTGGCTCCTACCCCATCACCCATATCTGGCTCCTACCCCATCACCCATATCTGGCTCCTACCCAATCACCCATATCTGGCTCCTACCCCATCACCCATATCTGGCCCTCCTCTAAGTGACTTTGCACTGGCTTCACCTGCTGCTGTGGTAGAACTAAAATGAAAACTACCAGTGGCCCCTCAAACCTATTCCAACAACACTGTTCAAAAGATGCTCAGCCGCTCTCATCCAGTTTGTAACCAGCCTGTTCAACAAGTCCCTCCACACTGGACAGGTGCCGTCAATATTCAAAATTGCAGCCGTCACCACCTCGCTCAAGAAACCATTCCTTGACCCAGACCTCTCTAACTACAGGCCTATTTACAACCTCCCATTTCTATCTAAAAGTCCTGGAGAAGATCGTGGCAACTCAGCTTCAGTCACACCTAGCGCTAACCAGCTTTACACCTAGCGCTAACCAGCTTTACACCTAGCGCTAACCAGCTTTACACCTAGCGCTAACCAGCTTTACACCTAGCGCTAACCAGCTTTACACCTAGCGCTAACCAGCTTTATACCTAGCGCTAACCAGCTTTACACCTAGCGCTAACCAGCTTTCACCTAGCGCTAACCAGCTTTACACCTAGCGCTAACCAGCTTTACACCTAGTGCTAACCAGCTTTACACCTAGCGCTAACCAGCTTTACACCTAGCGCTAACCAGCTTTATGAGGCTCTCCAGTCTGGCTGCAGGCCCATGCACAGTATTGAGACAGCCCTGGTGAAGGCTGTTAATGACCTGCACAGTACTGAGACAGCCCTGGTGAAGGCTGTTAATGACCTGCACAGTGCTGAGACAGCCCTGGTGAAGGCTGTTAATGACCTGCACAGTGCTGAGACAGCCCTGGTGAAGGCTGTTAATGACCTGCACAGTACTGAGACAGCCCTGGTGAATGCTGTTAATGACCTGCACAGTGCTGAGACAGCCCTGGTGAAGGCTGTTAATGACCTGCTCACGGCTGCAGATACAGGATCCCCCACCATCTTGATTCTTCCAGACCTCGAATGCTGCTTTTGACACAGTAGATCACACCATTCTACTGCAGCACCTCAGAGAGCACACTGCCATCTGTGGGACCACCCTAAACTGATTCACCTCCTCCCTCTCTAACCGTAAGCAGTACATCACCCTCGGTGAGTCAAGATCAGAGGAGTCCACCGTAACCTGTAGTGTTCCACAAGGGTCAGTGCTAGGACCCTTTCTCTTCATTCTTTACATGCTCCCACTTGGCCGGATCTTCAGACAACACAGTGTCCATTTCCACTGCTACACAGACGACATACATGTGTACATTAAAACCAAGCCTGACGCAACATCTGGTCCGTCAACTTTGTCCAACTGTCTGGAAGAGGTTAAGTCTTGGATGCAGAACAACTTCCTCCAACTCAACAGCAGCAAGACAGAGGCCATGCTGATAGGCATCCCCCAGAAGATCACCACCCCCTGCAGCATCTGCCCTGTCATAGATGGCCCCATCATCCCCTCCTCTCAGTCATCACCACCCCCTGAAGCATCCGCCCTGTCATAGATGGCCCCATTATCCCCTCTCCTTCAGTCATCACCACCCCCTGCAGCATCTGCCCTGTCATAGATGGCCCCATCATCCCCTCTCCTTCAGTCATTACCACCCCCTGCAGCATCTGCCCTGTCATAGATGGCCCCATCATCCCCTCTCCTCAGTCATCACCACCCCCCCTGCAGCATCTCCCCCTGTCATAGATGGCCCCATCATCCCCTCTCCTCAGTCATCACCACCCCCTGCAGCATCTGCCCTGTCATAGATGGCCCCATCATCCCCTCTCTCCTCAGTCATCACCACCCCCTGCAGCATCTCCCCTGTCATAGATGGCCCCATCATCCCCTCTCCTCAGTCATCACCACCCCCTGCAGCATCTGCCCTGTCATAGATGGCCCCATCATCCCCTCTCCTTCAGTCATCACCACCCCCTGCAGCATCTGCCCTGTCATAGATGGCCCCATCATCCCCTCTCCTTCAGTCATCACCACCCCCCTGCAGCATCTGCCCTGTCATAGATGGCCCCATCATCCCCTCTCCTTCAGTCATCACCACCCCCTGCAGCATCTGCCCCTGTCATAGATGGCCCCATCATCCCCTCTCCTTCAGTCATCACCACCCCTGCAGCATCTGCCCTGTCATAGATGGCCCCATCATCCCCTCTCCTCAGTCATCACCACCCCCTGCAGCATCTCCCCCTGTCATAGATGGCCCCCATCATCCCCTCTCCTTCAGTCATCACCACCCCCTACAGCATCTGCCCTGTCATAGATGGCCCCATCATCCCCTCTCCTCAGTCATCACCACCCCCTACAGCATCTGCCCTGTCATAGATGGCCCCATCATCCCCTCTCCTCAGTCATCACCACCCCCTGCAGCATCTCCCCTGTCATAGATGGCCCCATCATCCCCTCTCCTCAGTCATCACCACCTCCTGCAGCATCTCCCCTGTCATAGATGGCCCCATCATCCCCTCTCCTTCAGTCATCACCACCCCCTGCAGCATCTGCCCTGTCATAGATGACCCCATCATCCCCTCTCCTTCAGTCATCACCACCCCCTGCAGCATCTGCCCTGTCATAGATGACCCCATCATCCCCTCTCCTTCAGTCATCACCACCCCCTGCAGCATCTGCCCTGTCATAGATGGCCCCATCATCCCCTCTCCTCAGTCATCACCACCCCCTGCAGCATCCGCCCTGTCATAGATGGCCCCATCATCCCCTCTCCTCAGTCATCACCACCCCCTGCAGCATCTGCCCTGTCATAGATGGCCCCATCATCCCCTCTCCTCAGTCATCACCACCCCCTGCAGCATCTGCCCTGTCATAGATGGCCCCATCATCCCCTCTCCTTCAGTCATCACCACCCCCTGCAGCATCTGCCCTGTCATAGATGGCCCCATCATCCCCTCCTCTCAGTCATCACCACCCCCTGCAGCATCTGCCCTGTCATAGATGGCCCCATCATCCCCTCTCCTCAGTCATCACCAACCTGGGTGTGAAATTCGACCCTGCTCTCTCCTTCAATGCCCACACTAGTCATGTCTGTAAAACATAATTATTTCACCTGAAGAACATCTCCAGCCCAATACCCTCTCTCACATTTTACATTTACATTTTAGTCATTTAGCGGGCGACTTACAGTTAGTGAGTGCATACATTTTTCATACTGGCCCCCCGTGGGAAACGAACCCACAACCCTGGCGTTGCAAGCGCCATGCTCTACCAACTGATGCAGAAAAGCTTATCCATGCATTCGTTTTCTCCAGAATTGAAAGCAGTACTTGGGGGGCCTGCCTGCAAACTCAATTAATAAATTACAGCTCATTCAGAACGGTGCTGCAAGGATTCTGACACAAACAAAAAAGTTCTGCCCACATCACCCCCATTGGCTACTAGGGTTGAATGGCGGGAACCCGGTAACCGAGATTTACCGCCCACCCTTTTCACAGGATAAATAACGGTGAGAAACCGGTCATTTACAATAAATTATTTATATCAACAGTATGACGTGAAATGGAACTGTTAAATTATATGCAATGTCTAAATCTGGCTTCTCTACAGCCTCTGCATGAGGAATCATCAACGCTCATGTTGGGGACAGACAGCCCATCTCAGTATGGAGCGCAGTTCACAATGCATGTCATCTCATCATGGTACCTTTTTTTTCATGTGACAGTTAGGCTTATATTTGCTGCAGCATAGCCTACACTACAGTACTATAAAGACCGAATGCATCAGGCTTTCAGGGGTCACCATATTTTTTATTTATTATTGCAGCTGCAGAATTTTTTTTAAACAGCCCTATCACTCGAATATCGTTGCTTTAAATCAGAGCATGCGCGAGAAGTCTCTCCGCTCCCCATCAATTCCATTCAAATTGCATCCTAAATAGATCATCCTGTCCAAGGTATCCAGTCCTAGCCTGCCTCTTTCAGGTAATAACTGCAATGCAGTATTAGCCTTATATTTAGCTAATGAAGGAGGGGTTGTGCATAATAAGCTTCTAATTTACAGCCTCTGTCTCTTGCGCAATAGACACGCACCTGCGCAGGAATGCAGGAAAAGATAGACTAGAATAGCATTTGTTATACCAATAGACTATTCGAAGAGGGACACCAAGCTCTTGTTTGCTGAATGTTAAAACACAATGTTTTGAGCTGACAGCAGCCAACAGAAAGGGTGCGCGAACGCGCGGTGGAGGTAGGCTATAGCAGTTATTTATTCAGACCCATAACCATTCGATCTTCGTGAAGAGAAGCGAAAGCCTTCTGCATCTAATTCTAGTCCTATATTATTCAAGCATGTCACTAGAATGATGAAGATAAGGACAACAAAACGTAGTTAATTTAACGTTTGAAAGCGTGGAAGGAATGAAGCAACAATAGAGAGAGAGAAAGAGGAGGAAGACTAATAACATTAGAAATATTATAATAATATGCCATTTAGCAGACGCTTTTATCCAAAGCGACTTACAGTCATGTGCGCATACATTTTTACGTATGGGTGGTCCCGGGGATCGAACCCACTAACCTGGCGTTACAAGCGCCGTGCTCTACCAATTGAGCTGCAGAGGACCACAAAGGTAAGAAAGGTACTGTACATGCGCGGCCCTATTAATTATACAAATAGGCCTTTATTATATTTAAATATTCGCTAGCCTATACTTGTAACTTTGTAAGCCGCATGTGCTGCACCAGAATGTTCTCTCAGCGATCTCATGATTTGAACGAGGTACGTAATTCCAGTCCATATAATACAGTATAATACAATACAGTACAGTAATACAGTTCACACTCAAAAAGATTAGCCTACTGGAGCTAGTTTCATTTATTTACCCAGGAGAGCATATAGCTAGCTACATCTATGGGTTTTTATGTTTTTCTGTCGTGCGTAATGTGCAGTAGCCTACATCATATACTATATGCATTGGATAACGGCACAATAACTTGGGCTTTTTTGGGCTTGTGCTCATAGAGCACGGCGCTTGTAACGCCAGGGTAGTGGGTTCGAATCCCGGGACCACCCATACACACAAAAAAAAAAAATGTATGCATGCATGACTGTAAGTCGCTTTGGATAAAAGCGTCTGCTAAATGACATATTATTATTATTATTATTATTATTATTATTATAAAATGTATTTAATGTAGTGCTCGTCAGGCTCAGGTAGCGTCAGCCTTGTATTTTCGATCAAATCTCTAATCAAATCCAGACAGACTATTTATTCGCTTTATATGCTTTTGAATGACGCTTCCGGTTTTGGTGGGAAATACCGGGTTACCCGGGAGAAAAGTGATTTATTGTCGGGTAGGACAATTTCTAAAATACCCAGAAAATATTCAACCTTATTGGCTACCTGTCCCTCAAAGAATTGACTTTAAAATTATCCTCCTGGTCTACAAATCCCTAAATGGCATCGGACCTGTCAGATCTACTCTTCCCCTTTGAACCTCCATGCACCCTATGGGCAAGCCACGCCAGAAAGCTACATATCTCCCATCTTCCCTCCCTCTATCCCTCCTCCTTCCCTCTCTCTCTCTCTCTCTCTCTCTCTCTCTCTCTCTCACCTGGTCCAGTATAGTCTTTCTCTTCTTGTTATCGGTCACAGCGGACAGCTGCATGTCTCCCATCTTCTTCATCTTCTCGTCCATGTCTATCTTCTGCTCCAGCTTCCTGATCTCCGCCCTCAACAGACGCACCGTGTCCTCCCGGTGATGCTGCCTAGCAACCGCCGCCGCGCACGCCGAGTGGATGGCCGTGATCCAGTTTTCCAGCTCCGTCTGGCTGCAGGTCTAGAGGGGCAGAGGTCAGAGGTTAGAGGTTGGAGGTTAGCGGTCAAGGGTTAATGGACAGGAGCGGTCAGGGACAGTCAATAAAGGGCTAACCTCCTGGGTCATTGACACCTTTACTGTCAACAACAGCTGCATTTGATTGCCAAGAAATGGTTATTGAGGCCTTTACTGCACACTAACATTATCTACCTCTTCACCTTCAACTAACGTCATACAGATCAGGTCTCTGAATACAGAAATGACCAAGCAGATTAGAACACTGTACATCTAAGATAGATCATCGGACACTTTTGAGATCAATTGCATAGAAAGAGGTGTTTTCATTCACATAACAATTTCATCAAGATCAAAAGAGGTGAAATTGTGAGGTGACACAGTCTTCCTGACCAAGGAAGAGGAATGTGTTCCCTAGAGAGTTGCTGAGGCAACACACACACACACACACACACACACACACACACACAGCACCTACCTGGAAGAGGAATGCGTCCCCTAGAGAGTTGCTGAGACAGAAGACAAAGTTCTTCTTGGGGTGTTCAGGTACGGCCTGGACGATACTGTTCTCAGCCCACACCGCATGTTTAGGAACACTGTTGTGGTCGATCCCCGACCGCCCGTCTGTCTCGTAGAAGAACAGAGTGCATCCTGGGAGAAGACGGGAAAAAGGAAGTTACTCACAGCCATCAATTGATCAATCACATGTATGTATATAGCCCTTTTTCCTATAACATTTGTCACAAAGTGCAAAACGCATCGATTTGAAACAATTCAATAAAAATGTCCTCCAGTGATTTTTGAACTTTTCCAATTGAAAAGTTATATCCCAAGTATAAATACAGTAAAGTACACACTCAAGGGAAGAAAAAAAAAATGTTTTGAGCAAAATAGTGTTTTTTAGACAACTGCAGACTTCAAGGAGTAGGGCATTTAAAGAGTTGGTCTGATGGGAAGTCGTGATGTCATCGGCCTCCCCCTCGCTTGAGGAACAACAGAGGAGCAGTAGAGAACAAAAGAGGAAAGCCCCACTCCCACTTGTGCTATGTCACCACTTAACTGGACCACCTATTGAGATGTGCCTTTTGTTAAGTCAGTCGGGTGTTAAATGAGGCGAAAAGGAGACTGGAGTGCCACTTTAATGTGATGTCTATTTCTAGAGAGTAATAGCTTTTCTTCCTTTAAATATCTTACAGGTTGACATTTCCCTGCAGATAACACAAACAAATTAAATAAATAACAGCTTGATTTGTTTTATCAATTTAATTCTGCTCTCCAGTGGCCAGCGGTAAGAAGTGCAGGTCTGGATTCTCCAGGAGGGAGCATGCATCATCAGAATGCGACCCTAGAATGATGATGTGACTCTAGAATGCTGATGCGACCCTAGAATGATGATGTGGTCCAATCAAGTGGGTTTAAAGGCCTACTCTGTGATATTTAGATTAAGTCCCAAATGGCACACGATTCCCTATAGATTGCACTACTTTTGACCAGGACCCTTTAATGCCCTATATAGGGAATAGAGGATCCGTAGACCGGTATCGTCAGTCAAGAGGTTTTAGAATCGTCTTCAGAAACCATGTCGTCTACACTGGGTTATAAAGATCGTGCTTACTGTAAAGATGCAGTGGCCAGAATTAGATTTAATAGTCTCTTCAGAACCGTATATGTGTGTTTCTGAAATGTTGTTTTTTAAAGCATCCTTGTGTATGCATGTAAAGGGAGTATGACCTATGGTGACAGGTGTAATAGTAGAAAGTAGTATATAGTATAGTAGTAAACATTTAGTAGTACAGGTTAGTAGTATAGTAGTAACAGGGTAAGTATAGTAATAGTAGTAACAGGTATAGTAAGTAATTAGTAGTAACAGGTATAGTAGTAGTATAATAGTAGTAACAGGGTATCATATAGTAGTAGTAACATGGTCATAGTAGTAGTATAATAGTAGTAACGGGTATAGTAGTAGTATACGTAAGTAGTACCAGTAAGTATAGTACTATAGTATAAGCGGGTATAGTAGTAAGAGTGGTATAGTAGTAGTAGTATAATAGTAGTAACAGGGTATAGTTAGTAGTACATAATAGTAGTAACATGGTATAGTAGTAGTAGTAGTAATAGTAGTAACAGGGTATAGTAGTAGTAGTATTAGTAGTAACAGGGTATAGTAGTAGTAGTAGTAATAGTAGTAACAGGGTATAGTAGTAGTAGTAATAGTAGTAACAGGGTATAGTAGTAGTAGTAAATAGTAGTAACAGGGTATAGTAGTAGTAGTAACAGGGTATAGTAGTAGTAGTAATAGTAGTAACAGGGTATAGTAGTAGTAGTAATAGTAGTAACAGGGTTAGTATGTAGATAGTGTTAGTAAAGGTAGTGGTAGTAGTAGTAATAGTGTAACAGGGTATAGTAGTAGTAGTAATAGTAGTAACAGTGTATAGTAGTAGTAGTAATAGTAGTAACAGGGTATAGTAGTAGTAGTAACAGGGTATAGTAGTAGCAGTAATAGTAGTAACAGGGTATAGTAGTAGTAATGTAGTAACAGGTAATGTGGTAGTAGTAACAGGGTATAGTAGTCAGTAATAGTAGTACAGGGTATAGTAGTAGTAGTAATAGTAGTAACGGTTATAGTAGTAGAGTAATAGTATACTGGTATAGTATAGTAGTAGTAGTAACCAGGTTATGTAGTATGTAATGAGTACAGGGTAATAGTGTAGTAGTAACAGGGTATGTAGTAATAGTAGTACAGGTATGTAGTACGGTCATGCTCGTAGTAGTAGTAATAGTAGTAACAGGGTATTGTATAGTATAGTAGTAACGGGTATAGTGTAGTAGGTAATGTCTAAGGGATCAGTAGTAGCAGTAATAGTCGTAACAGGGTTATAGTAGTAGTAATAGTAGTAACAGGGTATGTAGTAGTAGTAATAGTAGTAACAGGGTAAGTAGTAGTAGTAGTAATAGTTACAGGTATAGTAGTAGATACGTATAGTAGTAAGTAGTAGGTAATAATCAGTAACAGGGTTAGTAGTAGTAATGTAGTAACAGGGTATAGTAGTAGTCAGTAATAGTAGTAACAGGGTATAGTAGTAGTAGTAGTAATAGTAGTAACAGGGTATAGTAGTAGTAGTAATAGTAGTAACAGGGTATAGTAGTAGTAATTGTAACAGGGTATAGTAGTATAGTAATAGTAGTAACAGGGTATAGTAGTAGTAGTAATAGTAGTAACAGGGTATAGTAGTAGTAGTATAGTAGTAACAGGGTATATAGTAGTAGTAATAGTAGTAACAGGGTATAGTAGTAGTAGTAATAGTAGTAACAGGGTATAGTTAGTAGTAACAGGGATAGTAGTAATAGTAGTAACAGGGTATAGTAGTAGTAATAGTAGTAGTACAGGTATAGTAGTAGTAGTAGTAATAGTAGTAAACAGGGTTAGTAGTAGTAGTAATAGTAGTAACAGGGTATAGTAGTAGTAATAGTAATAGTAGTAACAGGGTATAGTAGTAGTAGTAGTAGTATAGTAGTAACAGGGTATAGTAGTAGTAGTAGTAGTAGTAACAGGGTATAGTAGTAGTAGTAATAGTAGTAACAGGGTATAGTAGTAGTAATAGTAGTAACAGGGTATAGTAAGTAGTAATAATAGTAGTAACATGGTTATGTAGTAGTAGTAAAGTAGTAACAGGGTAGTATAGTAGTAATAGTAGTAACAGGGTATATAGTAGTAGTAATAGTAGTAACAGGGTATAGTAGTAGTAGTAATATTAGTAACAGGGTGTAGTAGTAGATAGTAGTAACAGGGTATAGTAGTAGTAGTAATAGTAGTAACAGGGTATAGTAGTAGTAGTAGTAACAGGGTGTAGTAGTAGTAGTAATAGTAGTAACAGGGTATAGTAGTAGTAATAGTAGTAACAGGTGTAGTAGTAGTATGTAGTACAGGGTATTAGTAGTAGTATAGTAGTACAGGTATAGTAGTAGTAGTAATAGTATAGTAACAGGGTTAGTAGTAGTAGTAATAGTAGTAACAGGGTTATAAGTAGTAGTAGTAGTAATAGGGTGAGTAGTAGTATGTAGTAACAGGGTAGTAGTAGTAGTAGTAATAGTAGTAAGTATATAGTTAGTATAACAGGGTATAGTAGTAGTAGTAATAGTAGTAACAGGGTATATAGTAGTAGTAGTACATGGATAGTTAGTATAGTAAGTAGTAACAGGGTATATTAGTAGTAATAGTAGTAACAGGGTATAGTAGTAGTATAGTAACAGGGTAGTAGTAGTAGTAGTAAGTAACAGGGTATAGTAGTAGTAGTAATAGTAGTAACAGGGTATAGTAGTAGTAGTAATAGTAGTAACAGGGTATAGTAGTAGTAGTAGTAATGTAGTAAGTACAGGTAGTAGTATCTTGTAGTAGTAATAGTAGTAACAGGGTATAGTAGTAGTAGTAGTAATAGTAGTAACATGGTGTAGTAGTAGTAATAGTAGTAACAGGGTATAGTAGTAGTAGTAATAGTAGTAACAGGGTGTAGTAGTAGTAGTAATAGTAGTAACAGGGTTATAGTAGTAGTAGTTGTAGTAACAGGGTATAGTAGTAGTAGTAATAGTAGTAACAGGGTATAGTAGTAGTAGTAACATGGTATAGTAGTAGTAGTAGTAATAGTAGTAACAGGGTATAGTAGTAGTAGTAGTAACAGGTAAGTAGTATAGTAATAGTAGTACGGGGTATAGTATATAGTAGTAAGTATAGTATGTAACAGGTTAGTAGTAGTATAGTAGTAACAGGTATAGTAGTAGTAGTAATAGTAAGTAACAGGGTATAGTAGTAGTAGTAATAGTAGTAACAGGTATAGTAGTAGTGTTAGTAGTACAGGTATAGTAGTATATAATAGTAGTAACAGGGTATATAGTAGTAAGTAACAGGGTATAGTAGTAGTAGTAGTAATGTAGTAACAGGGTGATAGTAGTATAAACAGGGTATAGTAAAGGGTATGTAGTAGTAAAGTAGTAACATGGTTATAGTAGTATAGTAGTAACAGGGTATAGTAGTAGTAGTAGTAAGGTATGTAGTACAGGTATAGTGTATAGTAGTAGTAATATGTAGTAACAGGGTATAGTAGTAGTAGTATATAGTAGTACATGGTTAGTAGTAGTAGTATATGTCAGGGTATAGTAGTAGTGTAATAGTAGTAACAGGGTGTAGTAGTAGTAGTAATAGTAATAGTAACAGGTATAGTAGTATAGTGTTGTAGTAACAGGGTAGTAAAGTAGTAGTAGTAGTAGTATAGTAGTAACCAGGGTATAGTAGTAGTAGTATAGTATAGGGTATAGTAGTAGTAGTAATAGTAGTAACAGGGTTAGTAGTAGTATATTAGTAACGGTTATAGTAGTAGTAGTAGTAGTAGTAGTAACAGGGTGTATAGTATAGTAGTAGTAAAGTAGTAGTATAGTAACAGGTAGTAGTAGTAGTAGTAACATAGTAGTAGTAGTTAGTAGTAACAGGGTGTATAAGTAGTAGTAATAGTAGTAAGATATAGTAGTAGTAGTAACAGGTATGTAAGTAGTAGTAGTAGTAGTAACAGGGTATAGTAATAGTAGTAGTAATATAGTAAAGGTATAGTAGTAACAGGGTAATAGTAGTAGTAGTATAGTAGTAACAGGGTAGTATTAATAGTAGTAATAGTAAGAGTGTAACAGGGTGTATAGTAGTAAGTAATAGTAGTAACAGGGTATAGTAGTAGTAATAGTAGTAACAGGTTAGTAGTAGTAGTAGTAGTAAGTAGTAACAGGGTATAGTAGTAGTAAGTAGTGTAACAGGTAGTAGTAGTAGTAGTATGTAGTAATAACAGGGTGTAGTAGTAGTAGTAATAGTAGTAACAGGGTAGTAGTAGTGTAAGTTCAGTTAATAGTAAGTAAACAGGTATAGTATAGTAGTAGTATATTAGTAACAGGGTATAGTAGTAGTAGTATGTAGTAACAGGGTGTAGTAGTAGCAGTAATAGTAGTAACAGGGTATAGTAGTAGTAGTAATATTAGTAACAGGGTATAGTAGTAGTAGTAATAGTAGTAACAGGGTATAGTAGTAGTAGTAATATTAGTAACAGGGTATAGTAGTAGTAGTAATAGTAGTACCAGGGTGTAGTAGTAGTAGTAACAGGGTATAGTAGTAGTAGTAATAGTAGTAACAGGGTATAGTAGTAGCAGTAATATTAGTAACAGGGTATAGTAGTAATAGTAGTAACAGGGTATAGTAGTAGTAGTAACAGGGTATAGTAGTAGTAATAGTAGTAACATGGTATATTAGTAGTAGTAACAGGTATAGTAGTAGTAGTAATAGTAGTAACATGGTATAGTAGTAGTAGTAATAGTAGTAACAGGGTATAGTAGTAGTAATAGTAGTAACAGGGTGTAGTAGTAGTAATAGTAGTAACAGGGTATATTAGTAGTAATAGTAGTAACAGGGTGTAGTAGTAGTAGTAGTAACAGGGTATAGTAGTAGTAGTAGTAATAGTAGTAACAGGGTATAGTAGTAGTAGTAATAGTAGTAACAGGGTATAGTAGTAGTAGTAACAGGGTATAGTAGTAGTTAGTAATAGTAGTAACAGGGTATAGTAGTAGTAGTAGTATATTAGTAACAGGTATAGTAGTAGTAGTATAGTAGTAACAGGTATAGTAGTAGTAGTAATATAGTAACAGGGTATAGGTATAGTAGTAACAGGTAGTAGTAATAGTACGTGTAATAGTAGTAATCAGGGTATATGTAGTAGCAGTAATAAAGTAGTAACATGGTATAGTAGTAGTAGTAATAGTAGTAACAGGGTATAGTAGTAGTTAGTAATAGTAGTAACAGGGTATAGTAGTAGTAAGTAACAGGGTATAGTAGTAGTAGTAGTAATAGTAGTAACAGGGTATAGTAGTAGTAGTAATAGTAGTAACAGGGTATAGTAGTAGTAGTAATAGTAGTAACAGGGTATAGTAGTAGTAATAGTAGTAACAGTGTATAGTTAGTATTGTAGATAGTAAGTCAACAGGTATAGTCGTAGTAGGATAGTAGTTAACATGGGTATGTAGTAGTAGTCATAGTAGTTAACATGGGTATAGTAGTAGTAGTAAATAGTAGTAACAGGGTAATAGTAGTAGCATAACTAGTAGTAACCCAGGGTAAGTAGGTAGTAGTAGTAGTAATTAGTAACAGGGTATAGTAGTAGTAGTAGTAATAGTAGTAACAGGGTATAGTAGTAGTAGTAGTAATAGTAGTAACAGGGTATAGTAGTAGCAGTAATACACAGCAGGTGTAAATATATGTGTCATGACAGTGTTATGGTCATATTATGACAGGTTATGACTGTATCATAAGGTGTTATGACACTGGGTGTCAAGTAATGCGTTACCTAGTAGTGTGTATAGATACAGTATATAGGGTATGTACCTTTGAGGCAGACCCAATAGGTCTTCCACTTCCTCCTGGTGGCTGACTCCACCTTCTTGTTCTTCTTGTGAACCAGGAAGTTCTTGACGGCCAGACGGCCCGCCTTCCTCACGGTTCCTTGGGCAACGCTGAGCAGGGGATCTGATTGGTAGGCTGAGCTCATGATGCTCTGTTCGTCGCTCAGTGCTGACCCTGCCTCCTCCAGACTCTCTGTCTGACATGAGCTCATCTCCAACTCCTGATCATAAGAACGTTACATTCAAATCAATAAAGCTTTATTGTCCCAGAACGAACAGCAAATTGTTTGTAGCATAAACTACTGAATCACAGACTAAATGAAAAGAGTATAGCAAACACAGGTATGAGGGGGATGACAATCATTTCATAGATTCAATGTACAGCACTTTTCCATCAGGTGCTCAAGGCATTGTACCATGTATAAAGAAAGCTATCTCATCCACTGTTAGCTTGCCGGTCCTCAACAAAAAGGACCATAGCTTGCCCCCTGGTCCAAAGAAGGTTTAGAAACACGTGTGTAGCATGATGACGATCATAATTACGGATCACTACATTTATAAAGCACTTTTCGACCAGGTGCTCAAAGCTCTTAACTTTGTGCAGGTATGGAGGGTTAAGTATTTTCCTTCCAGTGTGTACAAGCCTCAGCATCCCACCTGTCTGAAGTTCTCATAGACACCCTGGACCCCCTCACTGGGCGCTCCCCCACTGCTGCTTCCGCTGTCGCTGCCAGCGAACATGCTCCGCCCTGCCGCCGAGCACACGGAGAAGGACATAGACATGGTCTTATAGCGTCGGGACTGATGCTCCGCCCCCTCCGCCGTCACCCCGTCGATGCCACTGTCCTCATACTCACTGCCCTCTCCGGCCGTCACATCCTGGACACACACACACACAGGTGGGACACACACACACACACACACAGGTAGAGGTGAAGACTGTGCAAGGGGTGTGTAGTCTCTCACTAGCGACTGTACTCCTAGAGTGCCTGTGTGGTCTGTGTCCTGCATGGTGTTACAGTACCTGTATGGTCTGTGCCCTGCGGCCCTGCATGGCGTTACAGGTGGCAGCCTGGTGGTTGGTCAGGCCCTCGGACAGGCAGTGTGAGCGTCGGCAGGGCAGAGTGAACGCTCCGTACGAGTTCCCGTCCTCCTCCGACGGAGACAGCATCTTATCGTCCTCTCCCTCCCGGGCGGCGCGTTTAGCGTCGTAGTGCCACTTGGCGTAGCGCGCCGCGGGCCGGCGGGTCGGGCTCTTCGGAACTCCGTACAGCTGGTCCAGGGAGTTGGCCCGGCCTGCTGCGTCCACACCCTCCACGCCCTCTGGGGACACGAGCCCCATCAGGCCTTCACAATCAGGGAAGTCCCTGTCGTCTGCCTCCTCGGTGTCGATGATATCCTCTGTGCTGAAAAGAGAGAGAGAGAGAGAGAGAGAGAGAGAGGAGAATACTTTATTAATCCATACAAGATGGAAGAATTGGATTTGAACTGACAACCCTCCAGTTGGCTATTTATCTACATTTACATTTGAGTCATTTAGCATATCCAGAGTGACTTACAGTTAGTGCATTCGTCTTAAGGTAGCTAGGTGTGACAACCACATATCACAGTCATAGCATATCACAGTCATTCTCTAACCTGGTGAGGTGTTCCTGGCTGAGGTCTGACTTCTCTAACCTGGTGAGGTGTTCCTGGCTGAGGTCTGACTTCTCTAACCTGGTGAGGTGTTCCTGGCTGAGGTCGACTTCTCTAACCTGGTGAGGTGTTCCTGGCTGAGGTCTATCTTCTCTACCTGGTGAGGTGTTCCTGGCCTGAGGTCGGACTTTCTCTAACCTGGTGAGGTGTTCCTGGCTGAGGTCTGACTTCTCTAACCTGGTGAGGTGTTCCTTGGCTGAAGTCTGACTTCTCTAACCTGGTTGAGGTGTTCCTGGCTGAGGTATGATTCTCTAACCTGGTGAGGTGTCCTGGCTGAGGTCTGACTTCTCTAACCTGGTGAGGTGTTCCTGGCTGAGGTCTGACTTCTCTAACCCTGGTGAGGTTGTTCTGGCTGAGGTCTGACTTCTCTAACCTGGTGAGGTGTTCCTGGGCGGAGGTCTGACTTCTCTAAACCTGGTGAGGGTGTTCCTGGCTGAAGTCTGACTTCTCTAACCTGTGAGGTGTTCCTGGCTGAGGTCTGAACTTCTCTAACCTGGTGAGGGTGTTCCTGGCTAGGTCTGACTTCTCTAACCTGGTGAGGTGTTCCTGGCTGAGGTCTGTCTTCTCTAACCTGGTGAGGTGTTCCTGGCTGAGGTCTGTCTTCTCTAACCTGGTGAGGTGTTTCCCGTGGCTGAGGTCTGACTTCTCTACCTGGTGAGGTGTTCCTGGCTGAGGTCTGACTTCTCTAACCTGGTGAGGTGTTCCTGGCTGAGGTCTGACAGACTGAACTCCAGACTGTCTTCTCTCCACATGTCAGCTGATTTGGACCTCTTCTTCTTGAAGCTGACCCCGTCCCGGGGTTCCCTGGGTCCATCTCTGGTCTTCTGGAGGTAGGTCACCTCCCCAGTGTTACTGTACAGGCCTAGTCCTCTGTCCTGGGGCCCCTGGGGTCTAGCCCCTGGTGATGCTGCGTCTAGCTGGGGCCCTACAGAGGGGTTGTCCAGGTGGGGCCCTACAGAGGGTTTGTCCAGCTGGGGCCCTACAGAGGGGTTCTCCAGGTGGGTATGGAAGGAGACGGGCCGGAGGTTCATGGCCATGCGGTCCACCCAGATAGGGGAAAAGTCTGACAGGACATTGGTCTGGTTGAAGGGCTCCAGGGCGTTGTCCGCTAGAGACTGGGGGATACTAGGGGTGCTGCTGGAGCGCGTGGAGGTCTCAGAGTTACGGTGCTCTACTTTGCCCTGAGAGGTGTGGCGGTCGTGGGAGCGGCGGGTGGAACCGGAGCTGGACTGGTGCTTGTTGGAGATGCGGAGGGAGCGAGACGTGTGCTTGCGGGACAGGTGGCCATGTTGGGTACCGTAGAAGGTATGGTCGCTGTTCTGGCTCTCTACGTTGCCCATGGTTCACAGTCTGAAACAGGAAGCACAGGTAACATCACAGATAAACAACTAATGATGTTACAGAGATAGAACCATGTGTGTCAAAACCACAACATTTTAATTATAGAGAAATCTCAAAAGTAACACAATATGCCCTGGATAAAATAACATAACTGACATTCATAAAACGTTTTTACTTGCTAACAACTTCGATCATGTATTAGTTAACCAACCTGCAGTCAGGCGTTGACCTCACTGGCATGTTGAGATTCACCATCAGGCTGTCTACTCCAATCACAGAGAAAGAATGGTAGATGCCGCTGATATGTACTCCAAAGATCTGGAGGAGAGAGAAACAGAAAACCTGGTCAGTTATAATAATATGCCATTTAGCAGACGCTTTTATCCAAAGCGACTTACAGTCATGTGTGCATACATTTTTACGTATGGGTGGTCCTCGGGGATCGAACCCACTACCCTGGCGTTACAAGCGCCGTGCTCTACCAGCTGAGCTACAGAGGACCACAGTAGAACTAAAAACTGCCTTGGTTTTACTGTGCTGCATACTGTTACAATAGTCTTTCTGGAGGAACAATAGCTTTACAAGAGGAGGGAGTCTGCCTGCTGGGAATCAATTGCAGGCATTTTATTGTTAAAGTTCAACATATTTAATTTCCCAATCAGTGAATATGGCAGTGACTGAGACCACACAGAAATGGGGTTGTGAGAATAATGAACAATGAATCAGTACAGCCAACAGTTTACTACGACCTGATAATCACCACTTACTAGCTTACTACAACCATATGGGGCATTATACTGTTACTACTTGGACTGGTTTACTGGGCTATGAAATATGTTGAAGTGTGGTTGCCACCGGTTACAACAAGACCTAATAAACTGTAGGAAGTGTCCCATTAGCACTTCTGAAACATTGTACCACACATTGTACCACACACACACACACACACACACTCACAAAACCTACAGCAAAGAAAAAATAAATACAATAGCCTACAACATTAGTTCTTTACCCAGGGATGCTCTGTGGGTGAGTGTTCAGATTTCCCTTATTGACTAGAATCTGATCAGTTGAGCGTATCAATCTGTCCTCTATCAGAGCAAGGTTTAATAGCACCCTGCAGGGCCCTACTCTACACTCTGTGACCCCATCCAGCAGAGAGCGAGAGATTGGTCACAACTGATCCTGCTTTAACAGCCTGGTCAAGCCTGGAGCTGGGCTGGTCACAACTGATCCTGCTTTAACAGCCTGGTCAAGCATGGAGCTGGGCTGGTCACAACTGATCCTGCTTTAACAGCCTGGTTAACCCTGGAGCTGGGCTGGTCACAACTGATCCTGCTTTAACAGCCTGGTTAACCCTGGAGCTGGGCTGAGGGTTAAAAGGGCAAACCGGGATTCGAAAACTACTAAGTGGTCACTCTGCCACTTATTTTGATAAAAAACTAAAGGATGAAGCTTGACAAATGTAACCACTGTCCAATTCATAAACAGAGCTATGGATGCAAGGATTGATCGAAACTGATGTATCCAATCACGGACTGCCCAGAGAACAGTTTACAGGGAGAGGTAGTAGTGTAGTGTTGTTGGACCAAAGCAAACAGCACAGAGGGGGGGAAGAGCTAGAGGGAAGAGAGAAGAGGAGAGGAGAGAGAGAGGAAGAGAGGACAGAAAGGGTGAGAAGAGAGAGGGGAGAGATAGAATTGGGCCCAAATACCCGAAATTTAAAAATCCAGAAAAACCTTTAAATTCTAAACCAAAAAAGGAAGCTTTCCAAACCTTCCTAAAAAAACCCACACCTACAAGAGGAAGAATTGGAGAAGCCCCCCAAGTAAGTTGTCCGGGGGGCCTTTTCAAAACCAAAAAACCCCCACAGGCCACAGGACAACAACAAATAGCCCAAAAACCCCAAAATCTGAGAAAACAAAAAGAGAATTACTTGACACTTTGGGAAAGAAAAACAAAAAAAAACAGAGCAAACTAGAATGCTATTTGGCCCTAAAAAAAGTAACGTGGGAGGGAAAACTGCCACTGTACTGACCCCAAAATTAAGGAAAGCTTTTTGATATGACAGATCAGTAGCAAGCCCTTTCTATTGGGAAAAAAGGGCCCCCTAGGAGACCCGGCTCTCAAGAGAAAGACAGGCTATGTCCACTGCCACAAAGAGGGGGAAAAAGAGCTGCACTTTCCCAAAAACCCCCTGCAAAGTATTTACATATTAGAGACACTATTCCCCCAGATTACAGCGTCCAAAAGAATTCGAAAAAACCCAATTTTTATAAACCCCTTTTCTACTGGGTGAAAAAAACGTGTGCCTCAAGTGCAAGATTTGTGACCTGTGCACAAAAAAGGGAAACCAGTGAAGAACAAAAACCATTTAAATACAACCCCTATTTTTGTTTTTTTTATTTTTCCCTTTGACAAAATTTTTTGCACTTGTTAAACACTGTTATTTAAAAATAGACATTTTTAAATGTCTTTATTTTTTTGAAAAATTCTGAGTTTTAATTTTCGTTAAAATTTATTTTTTATTTTTATTTTTTTTACTTTTACTTCATTTCTTTTGGGAATGTTAAAACACGGGGTTTCCCCTGCCAATAAAGCCCCCCTTAATTTAAAATTTAAAATTGAATTTATAGAAGAGACAGAGAAAAAGAGCAGAAGAGAGAGAGGAGAGAGAGAAGAGGAGAGGGGAAAAGAGAGGAGAGAAAACAAAAGAGTGAGAGAGAGAGAGGGAGAGCAGAGAAGGGGAAGAGAGAGAGAGAGAGAGCTAAAGAAGAAGAGAGAGGGGAGAGAGAGAGAGGAGAAGAGAGAGAGAGAGAGAGAGACCGAGGTAAACGTACGGGAGAGCTAGTTGGAGCAAAATACATAACACGAACTGGTTCCAAAGGTGCCCGGGCCCCTCTGCTCTCCATCAAACCCCCTTCAAAAAAATTTTCTGGCACTGATAGGGGGGAGGAAAATCTCCCTCAGCTGTCTCTCAAAGACAGCAGGGTTCAGTCAGCGTGTAAAAGGAGGGAAAAAGGAGGGAAGGGGAAAAATGGGGGGAGGGAAAAACGCAAAATGGCCCTGAAGATTAACCCATAGACGGGGGGCCCAGCG